CCCCCCCCCCCCCCCCCCCCCGGGGGGCATCAGGTGGCTCCGCCCTTGGAATAGTATAGCCAACATTGTTATACTTCCATTCCTTGCTGGTTGTTACCTCTAAGAACTGCTTTATTGCAGAGCAAAGCTGCTTTAAAAGGAAACATTTTCTCCCAGAAAGTAAATAATCATAATCATCCATAATTTTGTCATCACGCCTTGGTTACATTATGCACGTCACAACTAATTTAACTCTCTTCCCATCCGCCCCGTCAGGGGAGCAAAATTACTCTTTTCTGCTAATATTAGTCACCACATATTTTCGAACTATATAAACACGTCCTCTTCTGGCAAAAATTTGAAAGATCGGGACCATAGAACAAAATTTTAGATCCGTCCCTGCCTTGTGCATTAAGTAGCCTAATTGAATTGGTTAAATCTCAGTGTTAAATCACATCTGATTTGTCTTTACAACTTTTTTGTATAGCGATCGAGGTCAGCGAGAGACTAAGCTTTTTCGGACTGTCAACAAATCTTATCACATACCTCACAAAAGTAATCCAGCAGGACCTAAAAACAGCAGCAAAGAATGTCAATTACTGGTCTGGAGTGACCACGATGATGCCTTTGATTGGAGGGTTCATAGCCGACGCCTACACTGGCCGATTTGCTATGATTTTGATTTCATCTGCCATATACATTATGGTATAAATTTTTCAGAAAATACTGTTATAAAGTTGTATTTAATCCACCAAATTGATTATATATTTATGACATGTTAACTTTTGGAATTCAGGGTCTAGGCCTATTGACAATGTCTCGTTTCATCCCAAGCCTAAAACCCTGTGCCACAGATTCATGCCACAGCCCAAGGTTCATGAAGTGACCTTTTTCCTAGCAATGTACTTCATTTCAACAGCAACAGGAGGATATTAGCCGTGTTTAGAGAGCTTTGGAGCTGATCAATTCGACGATGATCACCCCGAAGAAAGAAGGAAAAAGATGTCTTATTTCAACTGGTGGAACTTTGCTCTTTGTTGTGGCCTAGTGTTTGGTGTTACGGTGATCGTCTTCGTGCAAGACAACGTCGGCTGGGGTGCCGCAGATCTCATTCTCATGTCGGCCATGACCGTTACGATCATAATCTTTTACTTTGGAAAGCCGTTTTGTCGGTACAGGAAGCCACAGGGTAGTCCTTTAACTCCCATGTTGCAGGTTGTGGCTGCAGCCATAGCCAAGAGAAATCTAACTTATCCTTCTAATCCTGCTTTACTATATGAAGTTCCCAAATCACAGAAGACCCAGGCTAGACTCTTAGGTCATACAAATAAGCTCAGGTATGTGTACTGTATCTGAGATGGTTTAAAATAGGCCTAATGGCCAGACAATAGTGTTCTCTTTCGTCACATGCTTATAGGATCACTTCACTTGTCACACGTAGAGGTAGCAATTGAGATGTTTATAGCATATTCAAACTGCGTTACATTAAGCTTGTGTCAAATACCAGTTAACTCTAACTTAACATGTTTTTAACAAATCATTTGACTCTAACATAGCCTGTTTATTAATCTAGTGTGTTCAGTCGACTATAAGTGCGTAGCTCGTGAACAAAAAACCAAAAAATTGACCATTCTTCTCCCCCGACTAATCCCAGTACACAAACCTTTCATCAATTAAACATTCTTCATACTACATCAAACCAATGAATTTATCGTACTTTTATTCATCTTTCATACGACCCTAGTTTGTTTGCTATTTGCATTAGCGGATCATGACTTTTGCCCACTCGTAAAGATAGTGGCACTAACCCGCTCATTTTATATTGAATCCGTGATAGAGTGTTGTAATGTGATCAAGTTACATAGTACTCTAAGCTCACAGAAAAACAGAAAGTAGCAATGGAGAAGATCACGACTTACATCATAGCTTTTGCTTCTTTTTTTCTCTTTTTTTTGATTACCTATAGTAATAGCCCTACTCTAGGCAAAATTATGATTTGAAGTAAACCCTTATCGCACTTTGATTTACAGATTCTTCGACAAAGCTGCAATAATCGAAGGTAATGAGACCCTATCAGGAGACAAGAAACCAAACCCATGGAGACTAGCAACAGCAACTCAAGTAGAGGAATTGAAACTTTTACTGAACTTAATCCCCATATGGTTTACTTCCCTGGCATTTGGAACAACCGTGGCACAAACAGGCACATTCTTCATCAAACAGAGTAGCACAATGAATCGAAAAATCGGTCACCATTTTGAGATCCCACCAGCTACAGTCTACTCTCTCACAGCAATCGGAATGATTGTCTCAGTCACCATCTACGACAGAATTGTAGTCCCGACGCTCAGGCGAGTAAAGAGCAATGAACGAGGCATTACCATCCTCCAAAGAATTGGTTTTGGCATGATATTTTCAACCCTGTCCATGTCTACTGCAGCATTGGTAGAAAAGAAGAGGCTGAGCATTGCACGTAGAGAGAACATACAAGGAGGACAAACCGGGCCGGTTTCAATGAGTGTGTTTTGGCTAAGACCACAGTTCATGTTGCTTGGTGTGGGAGATGCATTTACACTTGTGGGATTGCAGGAATATTTTTACGATCAAGTTCCCGATTCGATGAGAAGCCTAGGGATAGCATTGTATCTCAGTGTGATTGGAGTTGGGAATTTCTTGAGCAGTTTTCTGATAACTGCTGTGAATCTTATCACTGAAAAGGCAGGAGGGGCTAGTTGGTTTGGGAAGGACTTGAACACGAGCCGTGTCGATAATTTCTACTGGTTGTTGGCAGCCATAAATGGGTTGAACATATGTGTTTTTGTTTTCATTGCAAGGAGGTATTCCTACAAGAATGTGCAGAAGAATGTCACAGTGGCTGATTGCACTGTGGCCAACGGGGCCAGGGCCGAGCCCATAGTTTGAGATTTTTAGCTCTAGTTAGCATTACTTTTTCGAAAATGCATCAGTAATGTTGATATAGGTGAATATAATTGGGATAATTGTATCAATGCAAGTGAAATATGCACCATCAACATGCAGAAGTGATTATAATTCACCCTGCAATTCTTCTGGAACAGATTAGCCTAAGGTATTTTGAATTAGACATCTGAATGGTTTTCTCCTTATCTAACCCTTCAATGGTCTTTTGTAATCATTGTTAGCAAAATAGAATTTCACCAAATTAGAAGGCTTTGATCGTGTATTTACTATCCTTAAGGAAATTATGCCTCCACTATGTTGCTGCTGGGTTTATGGCAAATTCCTCTAGGATTAACAAAATCAAACAGAATTTCAGATAGCAAACTCTAAAATTCTCCCAAGAACATAATAGAGAAACGTTTTTTTTGTATATATTTCAATTGAAAGATCTGTACATGTATTTATAATACCTTAGTGAGAAGACACAACTCTTGGGCCAAAGAGATGTAAAGAAGAGACACAACTCTTGAGCCAAAAGACATTTAGTAATTAATTAATACAAAAATAATTGATTATTTAAAAGTTTCAAGCCCAAGATGCCCCAAGTGTCCAAGTGCCCATCTTTTGACTTTAAAGATTATTTTATTTAAAGTCTAATTAAGGCTCATTAATTTGAAATATTTGGAACTTCCCTCTAAATCTTTCCACCATCCAAATTTATAACATTTGGTGTGTTTCTCCTTTTAAACCCTTACATTCTCTTTCAACTTTTCCAATGTAGGATTCTTTACATTACTAATTATCACTAACAATCCCCCACTTAGATAGTAATGTAAGTAATCAAAATTAACTAAAGTCTATGCATATAAATGGTGTCTTTCGACTTAAACCTACTATTAGTATAAGCATTTTAAAATCTTGTCAAAATCAATGGTTATTTAAATTTATTAAACCTTGATTTTATAGAACAAGATTGAAAATGTCATACACATAAACTTACAAGTTTCTCTAAATATGTTCACCGTGAGCTTTGGCACCATATTATGGTCTTGTGCTACCTCCTAGTTTCATGAACACTTACAAAAGTTTTATTTTCAAACTTTTGATAGAAGCGGCACCACTTCTTGTGTTCACATAGGTGAAGAGCTGTTAAAGTTTCAAAATTTGAACTTTCTTGTTCATAAAATCGAACACAAATTCTTCATTAAGAATTATTAATATTCAACCTCCTTTTCCATAAGCACTATGTATAAAACCTTGTGCTTGCTATCAATCACTAATAACTTGTTATTACCACTTAAACCTTTAAAATTGTTAAGCAACAAGAAAGGTAGGGTTTCCATTATTAGTGTCAAATTTAGAATTGTTTAAAACCCATTGCACTCGTAGTACTTTTAATCATATCTCTCGAGAGTCCTTTAGTTAATGGATCAGTCAGGTTTTTACCAGTCCTAACATAGACAACTGTGATTATACCATTAGAAAGTAGTTGTCTAATATATTCATGTCTTAAAGCAATATGTCTAGATTTACCATTATAAATCTTGCTAAAAGCCCTAGACATAGTTGTTTGACTATCACAGTGCAAAGAGACTGCTGGCATTAGTTGTGGCCACAACTTTATACCTAACAATAAATTTTTCAGTCATTCCACCTCTTTATCTGCCGCTGCCAATGCAATAAATTCAGATTCCATTGTGAAATGAGTAATACACGTCTGTTTCTTAGAAGCCCATGATATAGCTCCTCCACCTAAAGTGAAAATTCAACCAGACGTTGATTTGTTATCATTGATACTAGTTATCCAACTAGCATCAGTATAGCCTTCTAGTACCGAAGGAAATTTGTTATAAAACAAGGTAAATGACTTTGTCCTTTTAAGATAACCAAAAACTCTTCCAATAGCCCTCCAATGTTCGGTACTAGGATTACTTGTAAATCTTGAAAGTTTGCATACATAAAATGCAATATCAGGTCTAGTACAATGCATAGCATACATTAAACTACCAATTGCACTTGCATAGTCTAATTGACTAATGGATTTACCTGAATTTTCTGCCAATTTGTTAGAAACGTCAAATGGGGTATTAGTTTCTTTAATTCTCAAGTGGTTATACTTGGAGAGAATCTTATCAATGTAATGAGATTGGCACAAAGTAAAACCCCCACTATGTTTCTTAACTTTAATCCCTAAGATAATATCGACTTCTCCCAAATCTTTCATTTTAAATTGAGAAGTCAAGTATCTCTTAGTATCATTTACTCTTTTCAAATTGGCTCCTATGATTAACATGTCATCAACATAAAGGCAAACTATTACACCAGTCTTTAGTAAACTTGGAGTAAACGCATCTATCCGCTCCATTATGATTAAAACCATGAGATAATATGACATTATCAAATTTCTCATGCCACTGTTTAGGAGCTTATTTTAATCCATACAAGGATTTCACCAATTTGCAAACTTTCTTTTCATTACCAAAAAGTACAAATCCTTCAGGTTGTTCTATATATACTTTAGCATCAAGATCACCATTTAAGAATGTTGTTTTAACATCCATTTGACGGATGTATAAATCATATATTGATGCTAAAGCAAACAACACTCTTATTGAAGTAATTCTTGCTACTGGAGCATATATGTCAAAATAATCAACTCCTTCTTTTTGTCTAAAATTTTTTTCCACTAGTGTTGCTTTGAAGGTTTGTAGAGAACCATTAGTATTATATTTTCTCCTAAACACCCATTTACATCCGATTGATTTGCAACTAGGTGGTAAGTCAACCAATACCCATGTTCCATTTGATAGAAGTGAATCTAGTTCATCATTTATTGTTTTCTTCCAAAAATTGGAATCTCTTGATGTCATTGCATCACTATAAGTTTTAGGATCTTCTTCCAAATGCATAACAAATGGGTATTTTATTTAAAATCTCATCTCTACTTCCTTCAACTAAGAAGACTATTGCTTGTGAAGAAATAAAATCAGAATCCAAGTTCTTCTCTTTTCTTTCCCTTTGACTTCTCCTTGGTTCACTAGGAGATTCAACTCGTTTTCATTTATTATTTAAAGAATTTTGATACATATTAATGTCTTGTGTAATTAGAGGTTCAACATTTTCTTTATTCGATTATTGATTGACATTTGAATTTTCAAGAAAACTTATTTCTAAAAATTCAACGTCTCTAGACTCTATGATAACATTTGAGTCTATGTCCAACAATCTATATGCTTTTGAATTTTCAGCATAACCGACAAAAACACTCTTAAGAGCTCTAGGTCCTAATTTGGTTCTTTTAGGATCTGGAGCTCTATAATAGGCTATACAACCCCATACTCTCAAATAGTTTAAGTTTGGTCTTCTTCCTTTCCATATTTCATATGGAGAAGTTTTTGTTTTCTTTGAGGATATTCAATTGTACACATGGCAAGCTATTAATAGAGCTTCTCCCCATAGATTTGTTGGTAGTTTAGCATGCATAAGCATAGCATTAATCATATCTACCAATGTTCTATTCTTTCTTTCAGCCAAACCATTTTGTTGTGGAATATAAGGTGCACTCGTTTGATGAATCAAACCATTTTCTTCACAAAAAATAGTAAATTCAATTGGAAAATATTCACCACCTCGATCACTTCGTAGGATTTTAATTTTCTTTTCTAATTGATTTTCAACCAAGGTTTTATAACATTTAAACATATCAAATGCTTGATCTTTAGTTCTCATTAAATAAACATGAGTGAACCTAGAATGATCGTCAATAAAAGTAATAAAATATCTATTTTCTCCTCTAGTTAAATGACCAATTAATTCACATATATCAGAATGCACAAGTTCAAGTGTTTCAGTTGTTCTTTCATTCTTTGGAAAAAGGTTTCTTAGTCATGTTTGCTTGTATGCATATTTCACATTTTCCAAAATTTTCATATGTACATGAAATTAAACCATGCCTAGACATATACTTAATTGATCCATAATTAACATGTGATAAACGAACATGTCATAACTTAAAAGGAGATTCAAGAATATAAACAAAAACTTCAACTTTATTAATGCTCAACTTAAACATGTCATCACATGAATACCCTTGTCCAACGAAGACATCATTCTTAGAAAATATAACTTTTTCTGCCTCTAAAACAGCCTTCAAGCCCTTCTTGCACAACAAACTTTGCAGATATCAGATTCTTTCTCACATCAGGAACATGAAATACATTCATTAAGATCAATTTTTTTCAGAGGTAAACTGCAGTTCAACAGTCCCTTTTTCATGCATCTTGGCAGTATCATGATTCCCCATCATAACACTTTCATCCTTTGATGCAACTTCATAATTCTTGAACAAATTTTTGTCATTACAAACATGCACTGTCGCACCAGAATCATACCACCAATCTGCAGTCTTGTCAGTTGTTGTCATATTGCATTCTGTAATCATGTTGATTTTTAGTTTAGCAATCATGGCTATAATTTCAGAAGGACTTGGAGGACGTTCAACAATATTTGCCTTCTTTTGTCCAGCGTTTGCCTCTGTCTTCAATCTCTTATAGAACCTGCACTCTTTCTTGAAATGGTCATTCTTGCCACAGAAAAAATATGTCTTGTTCTTCTTAAAGTTGGCAGAATTATTACTTGAAGATTCAATATACTTCCTTTTATTTCCAGAAGCATTACTAGTCTTTGTTGATTTCTTCATATTAGACTCAATATTGTTTACTTTAGAATCAAACTCTGAAGCATTTTTATTCTCACGACTGCGAGTTTCTTCTTTTATTTGGATATGCTTCATGAGTTGGTCTATGGTAAAATATATCAGAAGTGTGCAACAATTTCTTTCGATAATCATTCCAAGTAGTAGGCAATTTTGCAATTACTGTAGCCACTTGAAGTTGTTCAGACACTTCTCTTTTAAAATCCTTGAGTCTAGATACTAGGACAAACAATTCATCTACTTGTTCCATGACAGATTTATTATCAAACATTTTGAATTCAAAAATTTT